TAAAGTTGATGAGGCTCAAGATGTGCTTGTGGCTTCTTTCTCTATAAAAATAAAATATTCATTTCTAGTAGGGTCAAATGCATTCCATAATCCATATTATTGTAAATCCCGATCTCAAACTAGCATAGATCTCTGATCCATATATTTTAGAAACTTGATTCCAAATATGTTAGAATCACGATTCGAAACAACATCTCTATGTTCGACATATGTCAGAAGCTCGATTCCATAGATGTCGGAAACTCGATTCTGCATATTAATGAATCTTGACTCTTGGAATGTTGATTCCAGGGGGATGGGAATCTCGATTCCAAGGAGGACAGAATCCTGATTCCATGTGGATGAAACTTAGATCTATTTCGGTCGAAACACAATTCTCAAAAACTAGGAATCTCGTTCCTAGCGATTCCTATTGTAAAGACAATGATTCCTAAGACAGGAATCTTCTAGCCGACTGCGATTCCGCGATTCCAGTTCCTAAAACGATTTGGGTTCCAAGGCATTTCCAACAACTATGGTATGTACAAGGAAGATTCAAAAGAGAGAGAAAACACCTCCCCACAAAACAAACCCACTCAACAAGTTACGCTACACGTTTCCTTTCTCTCTAGAAAGAGGACTATGGGATCGTCTCCTCTCTCAAAAGAAGTGGTGGATTTCATGTTTTAGTTTCCAAAAATCCACCGAAAATGAGACCCGAATAACTGCTTTTGAAGCAGAGTTGGTGGCAACCAATTGCAACTATGGCAAGTGAGGTCATGACAAGTTTTGCAACTAGGTTCTCTTTGTATTTCCTCAGCTTTCATTGTTTTGAAGGGTTGCTTTTGGTGTAGAGAGGGAACGGGAATTGAAGCCATATAGAGAGAGAAGGGGGCTGCGGGGTGTAGAGAGAGTCAGATAGAGAGAGAGAGAAGGGAGTCGCAGAGAGTGATCCGTGGCCAGGAGTTGGGACAAAGGGCGAGGGGCTGAGAGAGAGCGAGGCGGAGAGGTGAATGAGGGACAGTGGAGAGAGAACGAGAAAGAGAGAGTATATTGACGCCATATAGAGAGATAAGGGGGCCGCAGGTGTAGAGAGAGAAAGGGGATTGAAGTCAGATAGAGAGAGAGGGAGGGCCGCAAAGAGGTAATCCATGTTTGGAAGTTAGGAAAAAAAGGAAAGAGGCACAAAGAGAGAGATATGGGACAGTTGCCACAGAGGTAGAGGTGAATGTAGGACTGTGGAGAGAGAGAGAGAGAGAGAGAGAGAGAGAAAGAAAGAGTAGGTGATGGAATGTAGAGAGACAGGGAATGTAGAGAGAGAGTATTCGGTGATGGCACATTGAGAGAGAGAGAGAAAAGGGTAATTGAAGCCATTTAGAGAAAGAAGGCAGCTGCAGGAGCAGAAGGAGAAAGAGGATTGAAGTCAGATAGAGAGAGAGGTTGCTGCAGAATAAGAGATCTATGGTTGGTAGTTGGCACAAAGGGCAAGGGGCTAAAAGAGAGAGAAAGGGACAGTTATGGTTGTGTGGGTTTGAGATAGAGAAGTCAGACAAGACAAAAAATTCGAGTAACGGTGGAATTTTTTTAAACGTTGATTGGACGTGATATAACTAGATTTTTTAATTTGTACCCAGAAAGCAAGAAATACCCAAACACATCTTACCCCATTGGAAAATCTTATTGGCTTGTAATCCAAAAATTAGCAGATTTTAGTACATCTAAACTATACATTAAAAATAAAAAAACCCTAAAGATCCCAAATATATGTTCTTGAATTTTGATAAAAAGATTTAAAAATACAGGTCATCCTACATCATACTCCCTTAGTTGAGCAAACTCGAGTTTCATAGAGGGCTAAGATGAATCCCACACCAACCAGGAATGTGTTTTGAGGGATAAAACTCATCCCCCTTTGGGTTAAATGGTTTTGACGTAACTCACCAGTCAGTTCCTCCATTCTCCTCTTCAAATTGTTGAATTCCTCGCATATAAATATGACACCACCACCACAAATTTAACATCCTCTAGCAGTTGTCGTGCAAGCATACAGCAGATCCTAGGGTGCTACAGGACAAGCCTGCTCTGATACCAACTAATGCAATAGGAAAAATCACAGGAACAAAGAAATCAAATATTTAAAGAATTCATTGAAGTAAAGGGGAACATTACAAGTCAAACTCTTTTCTCTAGTTAAATCAGGACCCACAAAATCAACAAAATCCCACATTCCAACTCTTCAACGAAACCCTAAACCAACTTTTATATAGAGACTAAACCTACAATAGATGTCCTTAAACCCGAATTCTAATTAAAACAAAACTTCTACTGCAAATATAATTTGTAATGTCAAGTTTACCCCACAAAAAAATAAATAATGCCCAAAGAGATAAGGTCCCCAACTAACCTCCTAAACTACTCATAAAGTCCTAAACGAAAATAAAAAACCCAAAAAATACATCCCTGAAATTTCATAGAAGAAAGTTAGAAATACAGGTCATCTTTTCTTGGATACAAGGAATTGGGAATGAGATACACTTCATGAGGTGCAAATGACATACCTCTAATTTCTGGACATTTCTAAGAGGATATTCATAGCACCCATTTTTTGACGCAAAGAGGAAAAAGACTCCTCTGAATCCTTGACTTCAACCAGGATGTGCAACACCAATCTTTCCAACTCAATCTTACCAATAAAAGATGTGGGTTCCATTGTTCTCTCTTCTTGACTGAAATTTGACCAGCAACTGCCACCATCTTCAGTGTCTTCAGTGACGGAAACAGAGCAGTCTCCCCAAATGTCCCATTTTTTCCATTACCACCCCTATGACTTTGTTAGAACAGTGCCTACTCTGCCTATGCTGTCCAAAGTCAGTACACCTCAGTCTCTCACCCTTTTGAGAGAGAATAACTCCACAACCTACTCCCTTGTGAAGGTTAGATCGAATCGTACCTCCACTCCAATGGAAAATCCCCCCATCACTCCCAGGCAATAGAATATTCAATTCAACCTCAACCAAGCTTTCTCCATAAACAATCGCACCATCAAATCTTTTGGCACAAATGATAACATGTACAAGCCTCACAATCCCCCTCCAATAAGTGGCTCCTCAATATGCATATCTTCCAGATACCCTCTTGGATCTATGTCGAAGCCCTATGTGTTGATGTTAGTGTTCTAAAACACGGCTCTGGCAGTGGACTGGGCACCTGCCCAAGTACACTTGGACTCCCCCGAGTCGGACCCGAGCAAAGGAAAGGCCCAAAAAAGGCCTCAAAAAATTCACAAAAAAAAAAGAAAAATCCCTAAAATAGAAAAATGAAGTATCTAAAAATATACAAAATTTTAAAAAAAAATTATGTGAACCATGAAATATAAAAAAATTGATGTCAAAGAATAAATATCGATAGGAAAAATCCAAATATATTGGAAAGTAAAAATAGAAGAATAGAAAATTATAAAACACTGTAAAACTTAAAACTATATACAGAATTAATTACAAATCAAATATTATTGATCTACTAAAAAATAAATGTATGAAAGTAAAATGAAAAAATATGAAATTTACCCAAAATTTTGCAGTGGTCACCCAATCTCCACGCTCGGTGCAAGCCAATGCCTCCAATGCTTGTCAAAGCTTCCTTGGACAACCCAATCAAAATCCCAATCCTATTTTGGGTTTCAAGTTCCGATCTAGGAGATCCTAGGTCTTGAAAAATTGGATGAACAGTAAATCCGAATTTCAAATCTCTGAAATCCTAATTTTTGGAACTTTTCTGAAAATTAAGCTTATGGTTAGATCAAGAACATAGTAAATTTGGGATCAAATTTCACTGAAGATCAATCATCGATTACAAAGAAATCGCAATTTTTCAAAATCAAGAAAATCTTACCCAAAATTTTTTATCTAAAAGGTCTATCAAATCTGAACTTTTTCTCCCTCAAATCTAATGCATGTAATTGATAGGTTAGTCAAAAATATAGCGGTAAGCACAAATTGGGCTCAAATCACGCACCATTCGAGTAAAAAACGAAAAAAATAAGAAAAAGGGGGGCATTTCAACTCCCCCTTTTTGCTGACTATTATACAAACTCCAATCAATACTCCGGTGAGCTTGTAAAGTACTCGCCGGAGTACCATACAGGGAAACCGTAGGTACCCTGTTTCAGGCTCAGCAGCGAGTAACTCGCCCGAGTTTTAGTCGACTCGAGCAAGTTACATCTATTTTACAAAGTCCACGTGATATATATGGAACTTCTCCATTCTCTGTATTGGATCATAAACCTACAAACAAGTCCTTACCAAATTCCTTGTGATGTGAACTCAAATTGGAAAACAAGTAGCAGCAAAATAATGGATGAAAGATCAACCATTATTTTCTTCAAATAAATACAAAGGAAAGAACATATCAAACAATCTCCACCAAGCAATAAATAAGTAAACAAAAATATAACCTACAAAGCTAGAAGCTACGAGCTTCTACAAGAAAGTGGGTCTCACAACCACTATGAAGAGCAAAGACCAACAACCAAAATGCCAAAAAATACCTCCCTTCTCAAAACCAACTACGATATTTGTACCATAAACTAACTGTAAGAATTAAATATTTGTTACAAGAATAAACCAACCCCCAAGAAGGCATCAACTATATAAAGGATATATAAACCCAATCTCTCTTTCAGGTGTGTCCGATTAAAAACAAACTAAAACTTTTATTTATTTTCCATTTTTTTAAAAAAAAAAGCCCAATCATAATGGCTATTTGGTTTACATTCTATGTCATACTTGGTATTTGGATTGATTGAAGGCTTATAAGCCTCTTCCTAGTTTAATTTTAAATGATATGGTATGATTTTTCTACACATTGGTTTTGTTATAATAAGAGATTAAAATGCTCAAAGCTCAAATTGTATCACGAACATGAATTATGATAATCACAAGAAAAAATGGCAATCACATAAAAAAAACATAACAAGTTTACATTATCCAAATGTTGAAAGCATAACACAGAGAAAATTTTACCTGCTTCCGAGGGGGCAAGCCAAGACTTGAAGATGATTCCATTTGTTCAATATCTAAACAATCATAGCCACTTGTCTCACCATCTTTCCTTCGCTTCATAAGACTCCTAGACCTCTCAGTTGCAGGTGTCATACCCAAGTTACTGAGAAGCCCCCATAAGCCAATTCTGGTTCCAAATACTCTAAACTTGTTCTTAAGAGAGATGTTTTCGGCTCCACAACCCATCTCTCCTAACCCTTTACTGTCCAACTGAACCAACATTTGCGGATCCACATATTTAATTTTCTCATTTTGCTCATACAAATCAAGGCAAGACCCTGGTTTTTTACTCAGCCCATTGTCCAAATGCTGAGTCTTAGAATGTTGGGTTTCTCCATTAAAAGGTGCATCTTCAACTTTGAGCTCAACAATTTCATCACTACTTTCAGCAAAACCAGATGCAGTAGCAGTAGCATCCAAATACCTACTCATAATGTTTCTCTCATTATCATAATGACTGGTATCATTCAATGAGTCACCCCCAGAAATAAATTGCGCTAAGCACTCTCTATCTTGCTCATTTAAATCAACCCACTGTGTGTTTTTACTATCTTCACCCACTGGTATACTTTCCAGGCATTTCCCAGTGACTGCAATCTGTTCCCTAATTGCTCTGATAAATTGTTTATGCCTGGACATTGCATCTTCATCCAAATGCACCTTATCTGACAAAGCCGATAAATTGACTGCCCTTTCAAAGTCTTCTAACTAATTACGAAAAGACCATAACAACGTATAAGCTGAGAAATTGAAAGGTCGCCAATTGAAAACATAAATAATGATGTAAATGAGTTGATGACAATGATATTATGGATGACGTTTTATTATAAAATAGAAAAATCATTAAAATATGATCATAATGATTATTATTATTAGTATTATTATTATTATCATGTTAACTTCCATAAGTCTTACCTGCCATTTGGTAGTTCCAAGTGCAGTAATTAAATCTCTTCTATGAAACTCCATTGAGCTGAGCAATCTGGATTCAGCAGGACCATCTTGCAGAAGACTATGCTCATGCATTAAAGTTCTAAGAATAGACTCCATTCTGAAAATTAAGACAACCCAAACAAAGAACCCGAGGAAAAAAGCCAAACCAAAAAAAGTTATAAGACAAGGATGAATAACATTTATATTTTTCTGCACTTGATAAGGAAGGACACATGATAAAAGAAAAAAAAACAAAAAGGAAGAAAAAGAAACAGGGTCTTAATTTCTGCAATGTTCACCGAAATTTGTCTAGGTAGGCATGTGACGTATATCATCCATTGTAAAAGATCAATAATTATGAAAATATCATAAGAAAAAACCCACATAACAGAAACTAAACCAAAAAACTACAGATAGCAGGAAAATTACAAATGCCGAATTTACTTATTTTTTTTTAGGAAAAGGTTAACTTTATAAATATAAAAAGACATACAAATGGTACGAGACATGCGGCTTAACGTTATAAATATAAATAACTTCTATAATTTTCTGGAAACCCACCTCCCTTTTAATATAATGAGAAAATACTATAGTTTTCTCGAACACCCAAAACATAAATTTGAAAAAAGAAGTTCAAATTCTCTGAGACATATAGAAAAGTGTAATGCAGGAAACTTCAGCTACCACAACATGAACAGTCTCCTTTCTTGTTATTGGGTCAACAAAACCACCATTTTTGTGAATACCTACAACGCATTCTAGCCACAGATAGATCGATCGCTAGAGAGAGAGAGAGAGAGACCTGTCAGCTGAGTCCTGAACAATTTCAGCAGCCGAAAAGAGAGGGTCCCGCTCCCATCGTTTGAAATTAGCAGCCATGGCAACCAGTTTCCAGATAATCATCCACAGTACATTCACCTACGTCAACACAGTTACACCAATATTGGTTTAAAGGAAAATAGCAGTATTTCAGCAAACCCTAAAGAAAAGCGGAAGCAATCAAATATACAAAAAGCTCACATAATCTCAGAACAATTCAAAGAAAACCAAAAACTTCATGATTTGAATCTCTCTATATAGCTCTGGAAGAGGTTTCTGGAAAACCCACTTTACCCTTTTCGATTCAAATAGTATAGAAGCATTCTATTCAGGAAGAATCAATGGAGAAAGAGGTTTCGGAACATGAACAAACCTCGGTAAATTACGGAAGTCATGCGTCATTGGGGCTCCAAAAAAACCGTTAATATTCGCAATCACGGAGTTCTGACGCAGTCTGGTATACAGAGGAGAAAGAGAGGGACGAAGGCTTTACGTATTGAATGAATATGTAAGAGAAAAGGGCAGTTAATAGTAATATAATAGATATGTGTCATGAGGTTCATGTAAAATCAACAAACAAGTAACAACTTGGTTTTCAGAATCTGAGTTGCAACATCCTTTGTTAATTCATGAGAGAGAGAGAGATAGATGAGGGGGAATTTGGATTTTCTTATGGAGAGAGAGAGAAGAAATGGGGGCTTTATATATTATTTTGAGAGAGATATATGAAGGTTGAGGTTTGTATAAGGCGTCAGCCTTGTACTATTCAACTGAGATATACCTCAAAACTATCCCTAAAATACGGTTTCGATGCCTCAAAGCCTTTGGCATAGATGCAATTTGTATAGGAAAAGTATAGAAAACTATTTTACCTTGGGTACAAGATTGTTATAATTAATCTTGGCTGTATTTATTCCAATTGACAAGTTCAAACTTCAAAAGAAATTTTTGGAACTTTGACACATATCTAAACTAGCAAATTTCGTATTAGATGGTTATAAGTAATTGTAACCTCCTTGTATCAAAGTTCAATGGTCATTGTATACAATCTCATTTATAGAAGGCCTAGGTTTTATGAAAACAAAATAAAGTCTCGCCTCAAATCCTCATCTAAAAAGCACTTTGGGCATCAAAAATTTTCATGATGATTCTAAAATCAATTTTCAACACCAATTATAAAATTTGAATATAAAAAAATATACAAATCTTGCATATTCATGAACATTTATTTTTAGGGTGAAATGGAAGGTCTAAATAATGTGTTATAATATATATTATTTTTAGTGCTTAAAATCCTAATTTTTTTCACAACCATAATTATCAAGGACGAGATGATTGATTTGAAGGTTTTCCAGCACCAGAATTACACATTAAGGTGCATTTTAAAGTAAGCCTTTATTTATTTTGACCAAGTTGCAACCATGTGGGTTCATAGAAAGGAGACATCAAACACAAGTATTTTTAGTTAGCTAGATAGCATATAAAGTGGCAATGTTTGAGTTGAATGTGTAATACTATTCTTGGTCCTAGGCTTGCCAATTGGTTTTCTTTGCCTAAAATAAGAGGATATATGCAACGCACTGGAGGGTATTTGCTATTTTATTTGGGTTGGTTCCCTATATTAATGCATTATGGATTCCCTATATTATGTTCTGTTGGATTTGGAGTCCGCCCATTTGTTAGCATTTTTAGTGGCTAAATAGAGAAGAGGATATCCATGAAATTCTGGACTTGTTAGTGGTAGAAAGAAAAAATATAGTAATCACGTGTGATATGGGATTTTTAAATGGGGATAAGGTTGACTTAATGGAACATTTTTCAAAAAAACTGTACCATAACTCTGTTTTTAGATAAGATTTCATCATGAGACATTTTTCTATGCGATTGTCTATAAAGAGATTATTTATTTTTTCTACAAGGAGGTGACAATCATTCTTAATCTTTAAATTTCAAAATGGGTGGTTATAAGAGTGTCATTGAATAGACACAAAGTTCCAAAGAGAAATTATTGGACTTCATGACTTACCTTAAGGTGGGAATAGTTATAACCTCCTTGTAGAAAAAGTAAATGGTCTCTTTGTAGACAATCCCTTTTTCTATATATAGTTATTAAAGAGAGAGAAAAAGTTGAGATTTTCACATGAGATATATGTATCTCTCCAAAAGGGTTTCTCTATATACAACTAAAACTTTCTCTCGTGGTTCTCTTTTTGAAAGCCCTAGAACGAAATCTCATAAGTGATGCAAAAGCTCTCAGGCCTTCCATCAAAGTGGGATTTGCACTGTGTATCCTATACTATCAGTTCTAGTAATTGATTGCAACTTTTGGATACGAGTATCTAACTCTCAAACTGAAAGACACATATACAAAAGAGAACATGATGATTGCGTCGACCGCGCGAGAAAAATCAGTTCAGAAAAATGTACGTGATTTCTATCTGATCCGTGTATTTTTATATTTATACTGCATTTGGGATTCCCTCTTGATTCCCAACATTGGTATCAGGTTGTTATTGTAGAGATCTGCCCTTAGATCTGTTAACCAATACAATGTATGTGCGAAAACACAAATAGATATTTTCTAGAGATTCTCCCATCTTGTTTTATTGTTTTTATTTTTTTTGGAGATTTTTCGAATGTTTGGATCAA